CCACCTGAACACGTCTGTACATCAAGACATAGATATCTTCATCTTCTCGGATAGTCAAGCTGCCCTCAGGGCCCTCGACTCCTACACAACGAGCTCAAAAACAATCTCTGAATGCCGCAAATCTCTTAACGAGATGGCCACTCATCTGAGTATCAACCTCATCTGGGTGCCTGGACACCGCAACATTGAGGGCAACTGCATAGCAGACGATCTAGCAAGACAGGGGACAACCGCCGATATCCCTCGCGATAAGGACACGGTAGGGATGCCCATGGCTACCTGCAAGCTCCATCTCAGGCAGAGATTGTATACTCTTTCCAACAACCGTTGGAACTCAATCTCAACATGCCACAATTCTAGAATCACATGGCCAAACTACAACACGAAAAGAACAAAAACTCTCCTACAATGTAGCAGGGATAAGGCTGGGTCTAAGTAACCACGACTTCTGCCGCAGCTGCAAACAGATAGACGAAGAGGAGAGCATCGAACACCTCCTATGCTTCTGCCCAGCGCATAACCTAAAGCGCTTTCAAACCCTAGGTAGCTACACACTTCCGAACCTTGCGGCCATTCAGGACGTAAGCATTCAAAAACTACTATGTTTCTTGAGAAAAACAGAATACTTCGCGAAAGCAGATAACCCATGAGCTAGGGAAACGGATCTTTTCAGAGATCATGTGGTATCACAAGGGGCCCATTGTGGCCTAAGTGAGGGGACTAATATTTAGTCTCCAACCAATCCTACCTAACCTAACCTAACCTAACCTATTCTTTTATCCACGCCCAGTCAGCCGCCCCAATCCCATATATAAACAAAATTTACGTGTTAAATTTTTTTATTTTACTTATCATCTGTATTTAACTGGAAATCTAAATTTGGTTCGAACTCGAAATGCGCGTTATCAATTACTGCTTCAACAGGGGGTGCCTCCAAAAGCGGAATTGCTTCTTTTGGTAAAGGAACTGACTTGTATTTATTTTGTGATAATATGCTTGATAAAAAGGGATCCGAAGAATTTAGCGCTCTGTGGAACACGTCAGTAAGGTTATTTACTATTCTATCTAGCGTGCATTAAAGTACAGTACATTTAATAATCTGGACACAGTTAACCAAAAGCTTGTAAGCAGTAGCTGTCGTCGGATACCACGGATATTTCTGTAAGTGCAAAAGAAAAGTTTCTTTTGCGCAACCAGTTAAGGGTATCGACAAAGCTGCGATTATTCTTCACCCACACTTCCAGCCACACTTCCGGCACGCTTCGTAAATAAATTAAGGCGCACCCGACTTTGCTCGAACAGCTGACTTAAGAGGGTTGCCAAAGACCCAGGGATGATCACAAAAATATTTTAAAAATAGTTTTATGATAGTTAAACATTTCTTTAACAAATAAAAAAAAAATCTGAAAATTTAACAAAATAATTTTCTACTTTATGCCAAAAAACGGCTTTTCATCCTAATGTGTAGTGGTCCGAGAAAGTCTGCGCACAGTCTTCCGGGGTTCGTGTCAGCGTTTTTCCCGCCGCTTGCCTCTATTTAGGTTTAAATTTCAGGTACTTTTGCATTCCTGGCCAGTAGAATCGTGCTGCTGGTCGGGAAATTGTCCTTAAGCTTTCTACATGTCCGGGTGCGGGGAGTCATGCTTCTCTTTTAAGACTGTTTCCCTAAGCTCTTGCGGGACGCACATCTTCCAAGCTACCACATCTTCGTTCCCGGCTGTGTAAGGGTACAGCGTTTCGTTCTCGAACACATAGTCTGGGAATTTATGAGGCTGTACCTTTATCTTCTCACGAGTGTTCCTGATCCAGTTGCACTATCCATTCCACACAGAATCTTTCGCTCTCCGATGGGTTTCCGGCACAGGCCGTCGGGACAGACAGCGTTTAACTGGCCCTTTCTGTACGAAATCTCAAATTCAAACTATTGCAGCTCTGGGACCCATCTGGTGACTCGTTCTGACGGGTTTTCAATGCTGTTTAGCCACTTTAATGTCCTATGATCTGTTACCACCTTCAAGTGGTAAGGTCTTAGTTTACTTATTGCCCAAACAATGGGCAAGCACTCTTTCTCTGTTGTAGAATAGTTCTTCTCAGCTCCGACTAGGAACCCTAAACAATCGAACGACTAGAGTACGAGATCACCTTTTCGCCATTATCCCTATCCTGCGTCAGAATCGCAGCCAATGCCGTAGTCGCTGGCGTGGTTTGCAGAATGAACGTCCTTCCGAAATCCGGACACGCTAGCACTGGATCAGACACTAGCCTTGCCTTTACCTCCTCGAACGCCTGTTGGTGGTCCTGCGTCCACCACCATTTTACGACCTTGCGGAGTAGTTTGTTGAGTGGCTTGACGATGCGTGCGAGATCCGGGACGAAACGTTGGTACCATGAAGCCACGCCTAGGTGCTGTCTCAGCTCGCGGACTGTTGAAGGTGGTTCTAGCTGGGCTATGGCTACCACCTTGTCGGGGTCTGTGCCAATCCCTTGGCTTGTTACGCGGTGCCCCAGGTATAGCAGCTCCTGCTTGAAGAATTAACACTTCTATAGGTTTATTCTCAGGTTCGCCTCTTTTAGACGCCGAAGCACTTCTCGGAGATTGTTCTTGTGTTCTTGTTGACTGCGTCCAATAACGATTATTCCATCTTGATACGCGAAGTCAAGTGGTCACATCTCCGGTCCAATTACTTAGTCCAAGGCACGTTGAAATGTTGCGAATGCCGAGTGCAATCCAAAAGGCATTACCCTCCACTGGAATAGCCCTTTCCTGGCACTGTGAACACGATGAGTCCGTGCTTGTTTCTTCCAGAGGAATTTGCCAGTACCCTTCCCTTAAGCCCAGGCTGCTGACAAACCTTGCTTCTCGTAGTTGGTCCTGGATGTATTTTATTCGTGGCATTGGGTATGCGTCCTTCACGGATTTTTTATTGATCTGCCTGAAATCGACACACAATCTCCATTTTCCGGTCTTTTTCTTTACCATCACTATGGGCGAGCTGTAAGCTTTGAAGTAGTTTGTCCACCTTCGCATTGATCTCAGCATGAATTTTGGGGTTCTTGAGATAATAATCTGATTTGGTGCTCTGCTCATGGTCCGAAAATCTGCCAGCTCTGCCCTAGGAATTGCTCGATGATCTCTTCCTTGTCGGCTTCTTGAACACTTCCACCATCCGTTGTATCTGTTAGTCGCAGACGCAACGCGTCAACTACCCCCTGGCGTGCGTCCCTCCGATACCCTTCCTGCTGCATGCCTTCGCATTGCGATAAGTGGGCACTGGGATGAATTTCAGGTCAGAACGCGAACGATTCTGCTGAATGAAATAATACTGCTGGAAGCCTTTGAGATCCTGGACGTCCTTCTGAAGTACCATTACCAGGCGAGCATCTAGGCAGCAGTAACACAGGTTTCTTTTTCGCACGAAGACCCAACGTTGATAGCGAGAATGTCTCGGGAAATAGCGACAACAAGTGATCTTGTCCACATTTACGACAAGATGCAATCCTGTTGAACCGGTCACGTGCCTGCCCTTGAAATTCTAGTAGAGAAGTTTCAGAGTGTACGAGAACCCGCTCCTTTGTGGTTCTGCGTTCGCCTATGTTTGCTCGTAAGACGTTACCATGGTGCCGCACATAGAGATGTCGAAGAGCCAGTTGTCAAACATCGCCAGATTTGCACTGACTCCAGCCATTGAGTGCCAGTGTCGGCCTCAGTCGAATTTCAGATCAGTCGGCAGTTTTTCGATAAGTTCCTATAGGAGAGACTAGAGAAAATAATCCCAATTGCTTAGGGAACTGTGGACAGGCACATTAGCTAGCACTGCCCTAAGTGCCGCTCCCTTTAGGCATCTTTAGAGCCGTACCACATTCTCCTTATTACTAAAACCGTAGACTGCTCATAGTTACTAATAAAAAACAACCAGTCCTTTGGTTTGCCGGTGAAGACGGGAAGTTCTCTATTAATAACATGCCGTGCGAATATGTGCGTAGCAGATAGCACGGAGCCGGCTTGCTTAAGCCGTGCTTCCGAGGCCATGCGTTAGTGGCAGCGCATGAATATTTGTCCTCTATTTCGTCGCCGTTCCCCCTGGGGGAGACCATTCTCCACGAGACTCGCGTGGCGTAGCCCTCGAGGTTATGTTAAGCAGCAATCACGCCCAGATTATGGCTCCTCGCTCAGAGCAAGGCTGTGTCGAATGCCAATATTTTCCCGGTCGCCAATGTCCACAGTGACACTTCTTCACCATAGAGTAATAATGTATAGAGACACCATTTGCTATAATATCGGGCTTAGGTGCGTGAATTGGTTTATTGTCTGGAATATAGAACCCATCATTAATTTTTCACGGATTTTTTTCGAGTTTTAACGGTATAGTCGACATACAGCCGAGAAAAATTTTAGTGGCCTTTTCGTGATCCAGGGGTCTAACGCTAACAGAATTATTATTATTATTTTGTAAACTATTAAGAACTATTTTTTTGGGTGTAGCCAAGGGCTTTTGGAGAAGCTTTGCTATTTCTCTTCTTTAGTTTTACTGTTTTCCCAAACAACACTTATGAACGGTTTTACATAATCGCTTAGAACACACTAGCGAACTTGTTTCCGAACGCATTTTCCACATTATGGGAGAAGAACAAAAAATGTGTTGTTATTTATTTAAATAATTGAATACGATATATTTGCCTTTTAAAAATATACACATAATGAATGCATTTGAAATAATTTTAAAATTATTCTAATCGGTCATTGACCGCAAAGCGCAATCTAAATAAACAACTTATTTGACATTTGCCGTGTTTTTCAAGAGTCCAAATAATTCTTTTAGTACAGAAGTTTTTTAAATTTTTACAATACCTTATTTTAACTTTAAATCTAATCGTTTTATTTAGTTTTCTTTTATAATTTACAAAAGTCTTGTATGTAGGTTCGTGATTTGTTTTTGCTTGACAGTAATTTTTTTATCGTGTCTCGCTTTAATTGTGTAATTAGTGGAGCAAGTTATAGCAACCCGTTGGTGCAATTGAAAGTTGAAAAGTTTAGAATTTGTGCAGAAAGTTGAGAAGTACGGACAAATCTTCAAACCTAATGTTATTAAATACGTTTAAATACTGTTTTAACCAGTTGCTTAATTATAACTTTAAATTTTTACCGATAAAAACTGCAAATTTTTGCACAAACATTCTAAACGTCGTTTGTGTGGAGCGTGTTCATGTATATGTTTCTTTGATTGATTTTTTATTTAAACTATTTTTTTGGTGTATGTAATGGGAGTCAATTGTCTTGTCTTGTGTATATTAAGTGGTACTTTAACACGCCTATGAATGTATCCGGTTGTTTAAAATCATTTAATCTTTGCTGCTGTTTTATTAATCAACTACGAAGCTTCTACTTTTAACTTTTAGTAAGTTTTCGGGTGATTCTAATGAGCATTAAACTAAAAAGGAACATATACATGATTATCCGTTAATATTTATGATAAATACGATTTGTTATTATATTCATAGTGCTTTCATTTATAGTCAGAGTCATTTTTGCGGTAGTATGTTTCCATATATTAAATTTAGCTATAAGAACTGAACACTTGCACATGCGTGTATATCATTGATGAAAACTTCTTTTTACTTGGTTTGGGCGAAGTCACTCTGCACGCTCTCTTGGTCCGTTAAATTTCGTTATATTTTATCATCATTTACCTCGGTAGAGGCTTGTTCTACGTAATTTAGCTTAACGTTTCCATCTATAGCAAACAATCTATGTCTATAATTTTATACACAGAAAATGTACAGAGGGGCTTAGGTAGTGTGAGTGTAGGCTTTCAGATGGTTCAGGTTAGGTTAGGAATAGGTTCACAGGCATGTACAGTTAGCTTGTAGATTTTAAATGTTCTTCTCGAAAGAGTACTACAAGTCAAATAAAAATATTCTAAGCAAGTTATTCGTAAAGATGTTATTTAATATAATGATTCTTACTTCAATTTATAAACAAATTATATTGCCAAATTCATCTTAGTAATTCTTTTATCTTGTGAGTTTTGCATAATACCATGCGTCCTTGTGTCCTCTTTAAGATTTAACTCATTTAATATCATATGAAGTCGTTCATAACCGATTCGTATATTTACAGGGTGTTTCGAACAATTTACATTACCTAAATTGTTGGCATATTCTTGACCTTACTTAAAAATGATTGGTAGGCGAATTCATTTCGTTTTCGATTCGCTTCACTTCTTGTTTGCTCAGTGGGTTAAATTGTCGAGACTTAAATATTCAAACTCTTTGTTCTTCTCTAACTCTCTGTCAGCTTTGCCATAATTGGAGCTGTTTTAGGCATGTAAAATCCAACATCGCAACGTCCTATTACAGGTTCATCTTCACATCAATCTCCGTAAAAATAATCTATCTGAAATTGAAAAAAATAAGATTAGGAAAGTGGCAATACCTTGTGAAATAATGGAGTTGTAACTTATTTAATAAATATAAAGAGGAAAACACTTAAGCTTAGTAATACAATAATTAAAAACATTTTTATTTGCACTAACGCCCATTAAAATAACATTATTGTACATTCTAGCCATGTTCGTCTATCTGTCTTTCTTTCTGTCTGTCCATCCATATGAACGGTGATCTCTTGGAAACTATAATAGCTAAAGAGTTAAGAGTTAAGATTTCAGATTTAGATTCCTTAGCTATGCAGAGCAAGTTTGTTTCAGCGAGGTGTCACGCCCACTCAAACGCCGACAAACCGCACAAAACTACAGCTACGACTTTCGAAGCTTGTGGGCGTTAAAGTGGGAGTGGCAATATTTTTTTAGGTCGATCGATAGTTAGTTCAATTATGTTTTCTAGCACTAAAATGACCCGCAGCTCTGATCAGGATCACGAACCGAGCCGTCTATCTGTCCGTTCGCATGAACGCTGGGCTCTAAGAAACCATAAAAGCTAGAATAATGGCATTCGGCATGCGGATTTTTTAGGTTCTTGCGCAAGTTTATTTCAGCAGGATGCCACGCCCACTCTAACGCCCAAAGACGCCCGTGTAGCGCCCACATTTTTACAGATTTCGTAAAAGTCCAAATGGGATTTCGTGTTGATTATCAATATCTATCTTCATGCCAAAAATGGTTCAAGTGGGACCATCCGTTAAAAAGTTAATGTCAAATAAAAAAATCGGCGGTAGATGGCACTGTAACGAGGTGTGCAATCTTGGGAACAATCGCTTTGCTGCTTGCGGAGAGACGGAGATATCTCCATCTCCCTCGCACTCCCCTTAACTGAGTAACGGGTATCTGATAGTCGGGCCGTCGACTATAGCGTTTTATCTTGTTTTCTCAATATGTTTTAATTAGTTGCAATTGCAAAACTTGTACGAAAGCGCCGAGGTGTCCGCGGGGATGGACTTACCTCAAATCCATTCAATATGGGGCTTTCATCAATGATTCAACAGCCTGTTGGTTTGTGCTCTCTTGATCGCGTTTGCCATTCCGCCTCCCAGATCATTATTATTGCCGGCCTTGGCGACTTCTCTTCCGTTGCCGCTCTTCTCCATCGTCCTGGTAGTATAGACCGAAGTTTTGTGAGTGGCAGCCGCTGCCTTTGGGCCGGTCTTTAGGTGCACGCCAACCACCTCCCCGATTCCCTCCAGGGCCTTGTGGTGATGGCGCTGCTGGAGGCCATTGCGTAGGAGCTTGCCTCCTTGGGTATGTTTGCTGTTGTGCAGGGTCAGGGTGTACTTGCGCTTGTTCGGGCCGCCTCCGTATCCGCCCGCAATGTTGGTTACCAGACTTAGGTTCTGCGGCTTCTTCGGCATGGTGGTACTGTCCTCTGGGCCAGCGGTGTCCCTCTTCGGATTTCCGACCACCAACTTCAGCGAGGCTTCGAACTAGAGATTGTCGGGGTAGCTGCGGAAATTGTAGGTCCTAGCCCGCTGGAATTCCGCTGCAGCGGCCGCAGTTGAGGTTGATGAACTATTTCCGCTGCTGTACGGATTGATCATGGTGGCGGTGACCTTGGAGTTCATGGTGCCAATGCCGTCGTCGTATATGCCGCTGTGATCCTGTCCGCAACTGCTGCTGCTGTGGCTGTGGCTGCTCTTTCCGCCGCCGCTGCTCACCGTGTTGGTGTTGCTGCTGCAAGGGCTGCGCTCCGAGCCTGGGCCCTTGAGCGGCTTGAAGATGGCGGTGGTGGCGTAGTACTTCTCCATGGGCGGCGGCGGAACTGTCGGCGGACGCGGGAAAAGGCTGCTCAGCGGCGGAGGCGGATTTCGACGTACGTTCACGTAGCCATCACCGCCTGCCGCTCCACCAGCCATTTTCGACGGGGCCATAAAGTCCTGCATGTGAGGCACGGCGTAACCGCCTTCCGGCACATCTAAGAGGTCATAGCAAGGGGAGACAAGAGCGGGGGAAAATTCTGCTTAGTCAGGGAAAATGGCCGAAAAAATGTATTTTCAATAGTTTCCGGCAACGCCGATTTAAATGACTCCTCGGGAATGCCCCTCTCTGTGGCTTAAAAGTGGGGTGGGGTCGTTGGGTCTTACACACCTGTATAATCGGGCGTCATATTGCACTGTAAATCATTAACCGCCGCATAGCCGTTCACACCACTTGTATACATGTTCACATTAAAAGGTTCGTGGTAAAGACTATTCTTGCCAATCGAGTCGTTGTCATCTACGCTGGCCTAAAACAGCAAAAAGGAGGAAAAATATTTAATAATTTATTCTGAATGAATACTAAATGCAAGCCCTTTTCAATTATTTTAAGCCGGGCCTTTAACTTTTTAATTTTTCTTCAGTTTTTGGTCCTCACACTAATTGGCTAGCTATTAAATATAATTTCTTTACCTTAGCCGACCTCTTGCTTTAAGAAGTTTTTTTGCAGAAAATGACGAAGATTTCAGCTCCCCAAATTCCTAATTTCCACTCCAAAAAAACTCCTTTAATCCAATTCTTCAACAAATCAACAGAGCACGCACAGTGCCATTAAATAAATGCCAACCGGAGAGCTTCTCACGTATGACTAAGCAGTGTTGAAAATCCACTCTACTGCACACGTATCCGTGGTCCTTATCCACATCACCCACCCACCTTGATACTGTTGCCATTGTGGCGGTGCTTTTCCACGTTGCCGCCTAAAGTGTTGGGATTGAAGCTGTACTGGAACGCGTCCAGGACGTTACTTCCGCGGGCCCGCTTCGCACGCGAGATAATAAACAGTATGATGGCCACCAGCAGGATTATTATAGTCGTCAGGACCACGATGACCACCCCAATGAAGTTAGCGTCGTTCGGCTCCTGATCGATGGGCCGTGGCGCAATTACTGCAATAAAAGCGGAAGAGAGCAAGGGCAAGATGAAATTTATACAAGAGAAAACGCAATAGTCGACGCCCTTGACTCTCAGATACCGGTTACTCATCGCCTCGTATCTTTCATTCCTATCGGCTGTTTACGAGATTTCACTAACACACCACATAACGTGAAATTTCGTACACAGCCAATTTTTATACCCTTTACTCGTAGAGTAAAAGGGTATACTAAATTCGTCGGAAAGTATGTAACAGGCAGAAGGAAGCGTTTCCGACCCCATGAAGTATATATTTCTTGATCAGGATAACTAGCCGAGTCGATCTAGCCATGTCCGTCTGTCCGTCTGCCGGTATGTCCGTATGAACCCTGAGATCTTGGAAACTATACAAGCTACAATACTGGGATTAGGCATGCAGATTCCTGAGATTCCTGCGCAGCGCAAGTTTGTTTCAGAAGAGTGCCACGCCCACTCTAACGCCCACAAACCGCCCAAAACTGTGGCTCCCCCCTTTTTTTTGCTAGAATAAAAATTTTAACTGAAATGTGTTGTTCTCGTCAATACCTATCGATTAACCCAAAAAAAGTTTGCCGCGCCCACTCTAACGCCTACAAACCGCCCAAGCCTGTGGCACCCACAGTTTTCATTCTAGATAAAAAATTTTAACTGAAATGTATTGGTCTTGTCAATACCTATCGATTGATTCAAAATTTGCCATGCCCACTCTAACGCCCATAACGCTTAAATCTGTCTACAGCCGGTAGGTGGCGCATTTCAATCTCGATTTGCTGCTTGCATATCTCCATTTCCCTTTGGTCCCATTAGCTGAGTAACGGGTATCTGAAAGTTGAGTTACTCGACTATAGCGTTGTTCCTTGTTTTGTATAAATCCATCCCTCTCGCGTTCTAATGAACTTGGTGATTATTTATTATTGTTTGTTTATTTATTATTGTTTTTAAGGGCCGCTTTCAATACGGACGGGTATACTAGATTTTTCGGAAAGTATATAACAGGTAAGAGGAAGCGTTTCCGACCCCATTAATATGTATATTCTTGATCAGGTTCACTAGCCATGTCCGTCTGTCCGTCTGTTCGTCTGTCCGTCCGTATGAGCGCTGTGATCTCGGAAATTTTAAAAGCTACAATATTGGGATTAAGTGAGCAGATTCTAGAGATTTTGAAACAGCTTGTTTCACAGTTGAAACAGTTTGTTGGCTCAGTGAGCCACGCCCACTCTAACGCCCACAAGCCGCCCAAACCTGTGGCACCCACCTGTGGCCCAACAAAACTTTGCCACGCCCACGCTAACGCCCATAACGCTTTAATCCATATATTGAGATCGTGGGTAGGTACCGCATTACAAACTCGCTTTGCTGCTTGCATATTTTCATCTCCCTTGTGGACCCCTTAACTGAGTAAAGGGTATCTGATAGAAGAGGTTCCAAACTATAGCATTCTTTTTGGTTTTTGGTATGTAAATGGGTATTGATAATAAGAACAAAATCTTAGTTAACTTGTTAAAATTGTTTAAATATATAAAAATCAGGGCGCTAGACGAACTTTGGCGATATGGGCGATTGTGGGCGTTAGAGTGGGCATGGTACACTGACAAAACAAATTTGCGCTGCGCAGGAATCTCTAGAATCTGCATGCCTAATCCCAGTATTGCAGCTTTTATAGTTTTTAAGATCGACTCGGCTTAGGATCCTGATCAAGAAGATATATACTTTATACGGTCGGAAACGCTACCTTCTACTTGTTACATACTTCCGACGAATCTTGTATACCCTTTTACTCTACGAGAAAGGGGTACAGTTAAAAAACGGGGACGTCTTCGCGAAATTAAATATTGATAATCTAAATAATTAGTCAATGTTCGAGGACTCAAACAAACGTAAGCATTAAAAAAGGCAATTGTATTTATCATGCTTTTTGGCCACTTACACTGCGGCCCGTTTTTGTATTTGCTATTGCCGCCGGAATCGCCGGCCGCAGAGGCCAAGCCCTCTCCCAGGCCCCCGGCAAAGCCACCCGCACCGATGGGCTTGTTCTTGTTGCGCTGGAATTCGTTGCTCCTTATGTCATCACGAGTGTCCTGCGCCTGACTTGCAGAGTTCCTGCGCTGGTCCTGCTCGTCTGTAAAATTTCCCAGGGCAGGCACTAAAGGGGTTAAAAATTGGAATATTATAAAGAGTTAGACTAAATTAGAGCTATAAGATGATTAGCGAATAAATTCACATTATTTAAAGAGTTGGCGACCTCACTCCATCTTGCAAACATCTTTGGGTCATAATAAATCAAAATGATTTGGTGTGAGCCTGCTTTTTTCCACCCGATAAAAAAAGGTTCTTCGAGTGGCTGACCTTGTTTCTTTAGGCAGAAAATGACGTAATTACTGTGCAAAGTTCTTTTATTAAAGTGCCGGCGTTGAGGCTGCTGTTTTGAGTTATGTCTCTGGCGGCAGGGTTTGTTCCCGTCGCTTCTTTTTTACGAAGGGAGTATCTGTCATCACCCAACTGAACGACCAAAGAGCCATAACACTTTGAAAATGCTTCAAATATTGCCAAATTTATCCCACGCACAGGCAGGAAAGGGGACTCCAGGGGTAATGGTAATGGCAAATGTGCCGCATATTCTTTGCCACAGTGCCCAGATCCCACTGATGTTGTCGTATGCCTTTTGTAACTATTATACCCATTAGTCCTAGAGTAAACGGGTATACTAGGTTCGTCGAAAAGTATGTAACAGGTAGACTATCGGAAACTATAAGAGTGTTGGGACTTGGCTTACAGACTCTTGGGCTTTAGTGTTTTAGTATTTTGTAATAACTTAAATGAGAGTTTGTTCTTATTATCAATACCTATCCAGATGCCAAAAACTATTTAAATCAGTCATTAAAAAGTTATAACAATGTAATAATCAATTTTTTGGAGTCTAATCGAGATTGCACACCACATGCAGCAAATAATCTGTTTTCACTAATACACCACCAAGCCGCCAGGGGCGATACAGGGCTAGTTGGCGCTGTAGGCCAAGTGGCGCTATAGGAGGTGAAAAAAGGAGAGTTGCTTTATGCATATCTTCATCCCGCTCGCACTCCCTTAAGCTGAGTATCGGGTATCTAATAGTCGAGGCCAACGAATATAGCGTTTAATCTTGTTAGTATTAGATATGCTCCCCTTTTTAAGAAGTGGAAAAATTATAAATTCCTTCCAAACTTGTGGAAAATTAGAATGGAGGAGGGATTGGTAAACGATCCGAACCAGAAGATAAGGACATCTTGACTGTTTAAAGATGTTGAAGAACATCATGCTCGCTAACTAGGGGAATCAAAATACAGTTGGTGTGAGGAAGAAGGTTTGGCTAGTGTTTACGTCAAAAGTGCGTTTAATTTCAGAAGGCAGTGCCGAGCGGCAGTTTTATCCAGATGTAAAAATATCGCGCGCTCGCACTGCCGTCCGCTCTCCCTCTCCATCTCTCCCCTAAGTCAACGCTCTGCTCTGGAGCGCTTAAGTTAAGTTAGCCTTAAGGAGTTCTATTTTCCAAGTGAACCAATAAACATATATGCACGTCGCGTAAAGACACACTGTACCCCCGTGCTTTTGCGTACCATTAGTTCTTGGCACTTCAACTATTTTCAGGGATCACGCCACTCCGCCCCAACAGTAAGGATGAGGTATTATCAAAACTATTGTACCGTCTAACGCCCACATAATTTAATATTTTGTTGAAGTATAAATGGGCATTTTTTTCTGATTCATTCATTAAAAAGTTATTAGCAAATAAAGTGTGCAGCCACCTCCACTCCCTTCAGTTGAGCATATTTATACCCGTTATTCGTAGAGTAAAAGGGTAAACTAGATTCGTCGGAAAATATTTAACAGGCAGAAGGAAGAGTTTCCGACCCCATAAAGTAAATATATTCTTGATCAGGATCACTAGCCGAGTCGATCCAGCCATGTCCGCCTGTCCGTCTTTCCGTCCGTCCGGATGAACGCTGAGATCTCGGAAACTATAAGAGCTACAATACTGGGATTAGGAATGCAGATTCCTGATCTTCTTACGCAGCGCAGGTTTGTTTCAGCAGAGTGCCACGCCCACTCTAACGCCCACAAACCGCCCAAAACTGAGGCTCATTCAGTTTTGATACTAGAGTAATGTTCTCATCAATACGTATTGATTGATTCAAAAGAAAGTTTTCCACGCCCACTTAAACGCCCACAAACTTCAAAAAATCGTAAATATGAACGCGGATATCTCGGAAACTATCAAAGATGGAGAATTGGGATCTCAGATTTAGATTTCGTAGCCTTGAGCGCAGCGCAAGGTTGTTACGCGAATATGCCACGCCCACTCTAACGCCCACAGCCCGCCAAAACCTGTGGCGCCCACAATTTTATTGCTAGATTAAAAATTGTAACTGAAATGTATTAGTCATGTCAATACCTATCGATTGGTCCAAAAAAAATTTGCCACACTTACTCTAACGCCCATAACGCGTAATTTTAACTGAAATGTATTGTTCTCATCAATACCCACCGATAGACCCAAAAAAAAAGTTTGACACGCTCAATTTTACGCCCACAACTTCAAAAAATCGTTAATATGAACGCGGATATCTCGGAAACTATAAAATATAGTGAATTGGGATTTCAGATTTACATTACGTAGCTTTGTACGCTGCGCAAGTTTGTTACGCAAATATGCCACTCATGCTACATACAAAATGCTTACTGAAATGTATTAGTCTCGTCAATACCTACCGATTGACGCAAAACAAATTTGCCTCGCCCACTCTATCGCCCATAACGCCTAAATCTGTCTACCGCCCACTTATCCATATATTGAGATTGCGGGTAGGTGGCGCATTTCAATCTCGCTTTACTGCTTGCATATCTCCATTTTCCTTTGGTCCCTTTAGCTGAGTATCGGGGTATAACTCGACTATAGCGTTCTTCCTTGTTCTTAAACGTAAGAAAGGCGTTCACATACCAAGAAAAAAAAAATCTAAAATGCCCAAAAATGGGCTAGAATTTAGGTAAAATTGGCCTAGACCTGGAGCTAAGTCCTATGGCCTAAAATTAAGGATTTGATGCCGTAACATTTTGGGTCACCAATGTCCTAAAATGTGAACAATTTTTGTCCTAGACTTTAAGTAATTGGCTGCCTAAAAATAGTATATATAGTAGAAAAAAATTTGATGGAACTTACAATTGCATTTTGACGCGAAATAAAACCATATGGACTAGGCTCAGGGGGGCAAAGTGGTGCGTCCCACGATACTTTTTAGTTCTCAAGGCTCGAAGTGCGAGTCCTTCCCAAAACACATTTTATTTTATTTTTCTTTCCAAAAAGTAAATCTGATATATTATTTAACACAATATTATATTTAAAATTGCTAAGGTAATATGTTTCCTAAAAACTTTTGACTTACTCCTGCCCTATCTGGTATCCGAACCTGTGTCCTTTCACATAAGAGGCAGACGACTTACCCATTGGGTCATCGCACCACGTTAAGCATGACCGTGTAAGTTCAAGTCAGTTCGGACAAAATAAAAGGGATTGTTTTTTTTTTAGGGAGACAATATATTAACTTTTTCCAATTCACTATAATATCCAAAATGTTCAATTTTGTAATAATACTGCCCGGTCCTTTTTTTCTAAAATAGTACCTTAAATAATAAATTAAATAATTAGAGGCAATACAATTATTATTTGGTTACTTCCAACATCAATATATAATAGTCATGTTATGTTTAAAAGGTAAATATTTGTAGGTAATATGCAATAGTTTTAAGGCCCACGATGACCTTAAATATTAGGCTGTTCGTGACCCAAAATGTGGGGCAAAAAGTACAAAAATTATTATTTTTAGACTGTGCATAGCTTAAAAATGAACTTCTAATCCATTTTTATGCCCTTGCAGAGGGTATATTGATTTCAGTCAGAAGTTAGCATATTCTTGAATAGCATCACTAGACGAGTCAATCTATCCTTGTCGAGTACCTCGACTATCAGATACCCGTTACTCAGCTAATGGGACCAAAGGGAAATGGAGATATGCAAGCAGCAAAGCGACATTGAAGTGTGTCACGCCGGTAGGTAGACAGATTCAAGCGTTATAGGCGTTAGAGTTGGCGTGGCAAATTTGTTTTTGGATCAATCGATTGGTATTGACGAGACCAATACATTTCAGTTAAAATTTTTTGTCTAGCACGAAAATTGTGGGTGCCACAGGTTTGGGCGGTTTGTGGGCGTTAGAGTGGGCGTGGCAAACTTTTTATTTATTTATTTTATTCTAGCATCAAAACTGTAGGAGCCACAGTTTTGGGCGGCTTGTGGGCGTTAGAGTGGGCGTGACACTCTGCTGAAACAAACTTGCGCTGCGCAGGAATCTCAGGAATCTGCAGTATTGTAGCTTGTATAGTTTCCGAGATCTCAGCGTTCATACGGACAGACGGACAGACGGACATGGCTAGATTGACTCGGCTAGTAATCCTGATCAAGAATTTATATACTTTAGGGGGTCGGAAACGCTTCCTTCTGCCTGTTTCATATTTTCCGACGAATCTAGTATACCCTTTTACTCTACGAGTAACGGGTATAAAAATGGCTCAAACTTAAAGAAAATAACCGATTGTAGGATGTGAATAGATGTTGCATCTTACGATCGTAGAAGAAATCAGACGTCTTTTTAGAAACAATTCGATATTCTTAAAACAAACAAGGAAGTACGCTATAGTCGAGTACCTCCACTATCAGATACCCCTTACTCAGCTAATGGGACCAAAGGGAAATGGAGATATGCAAGCAGCAAAGCGAGATTGAAATGTGCCACCTACCGGCGGTAGGCAGATTCAAGCGTTATGGGCGTTAGAGTGGGCGTGGCAAATTTGTTTTTGGATCAATCGATTGGTATTGACGAGACCAATACATTTCAGTTAAAATTTTTTGTCTAGCACGAAAATTGTGGGCGCCACAAGTTTGGGCGGTTTGTGGGCGTTAGAGTGGGCGTGGCAAACTTTTTTGGGTCAATCGATAGGTATTGACGAGAACAATACATTTCAGTTAAAAGTTTTATTCTAGCATCAAAACTGTGGGAGCCACAGTTTTGGGCGGCTTGTGGGCGTTAGAGTGGGCGTGGCACTCTGCTGAAACAAACTTGCGCTGCGCAGGAATCTCAAGAATCTGCATGCCTAATTCTTGTATTGTAGCGTGTATAGTTTCCGAGATCTCAGCGTTCATACGGACAGACGGACATGGCTAGATCGACTCGGCTAGTGATCCTGATCAAGAATATATACTTTATGGGGTCGGAAACGCTTCCTTCTGCCTGTTACATACTTTCCGACGAATCTAGTACAGCCTTTTACTCTACGAGTAACGGGTATAAAAATGGGTCAAACTTAAAGAAAATAACCGATTGTAGGATGTGAATAGGTGTTGCATCTAGCGAAACAATTCGATATTCTTAAAACAAACAAGGAAGAACGCTCTAGTCGAGTACCTCGACTATCAGATACCCGTTACTCAGCTAATGGGACCAAAGGGAAATGGAGATATGCAAGCAGCAAAGCGAGATTGAAATACGCCACCTTCCGGCGGTAGACAGATCCAAGCGTTATGGGCGTTAGAGTGGGCGTGGCAAACTTTTTTGGGTCAATCGATAGGTATTGACGAGAACAATACATTTCAGTTAAAAGTTTTATTCTAGCATCAAAACTGTGGGAGCCACAGTTTTGGGCGGCTTGTGGGCGTTAGAGTGGGCGTGGCACTCTGCTGAAACAAACCTGCGCTGCGCAGGAATCTCAAGAATCTGCATGCCTAATTCTTGTATTGTAGCGTGTATAGTTTCCGAGATCTCAGCGTTCATACGGACAGACGGACATGGCTAGATCGACTCGGCTAGTGATCCTGATCAAGAATATATACTTTATGGGGTCGGAAACGCTTCCTTCTGCCTGTTACATACTTTCCGACGAATCTAGTACAGCCTTTTACTCTACGAGTAACGGGTATAAAAATGGGTCAAACTTAAAGAAAATAACCGATTGTAGGATGTGAATAGGTGTTGCATCTAGCGAAAAAATTCGATATTCTTAAAACAAACAAGGAAGAACGCTCTAGTCGAGTACCTCGACTATCAGATACCCGTTACTCAGCTAATGGGACCAAAGGGAAATGGAGATATGCAAGCAGCAAAGCGAGATTGAAATACGCCACCTTCCGGCGGTAGACAGATCCAAGCGTTATGGGCGTTAGAGTGGGCGTGGCAAACTTTTTTTTGGGTCAATCGATAGGTATTGACGAGACCAATACATTTCAGTTAAAAGTTACTCTAACGCCCACAAAACGCCCAAAACTGTGGCTCCTACAGTTTTGATGCTAGAATAAAAATTTTAACTGAAATGTATTGTTCTCATCAATACCTGTCGATTGACCCAAAAAAAAATTTGCCACGCCCACTTTAACGCCCGCAAACCGCCCAATCCTGTGACGCCCACAATTTTCATGCTAGATAAAACATTTTAGCTGAAATGTATTGGTCTCGTCAATACCTATCGATTGATCAAGAAAAATTTACCACGCCCATAACGCTTTAATCTGTTTACCGCCGGTAGGTGGCGCATTTTAATCTCGCTTTGCTGCTTGCATATCTCCATTTCCCTTTGGTCACTTTAGCTAAGTAACGGGTATCTGATAGTCGAGGTACTCGACTATAGCGTTCTTCCTTGTTTATAGATACCCTTCTGCTTATTTCTGTAACACACCTAGCCTATAGTGCCACCTATCTTCTTCTTCTGTAGCGCCAACGAGCCCTTAGCGCCCTTAGCGGATTGGTGGCGTATTAGTGAAAACAGCTAGTATTCCGCTTGTGGTGTGCAATCTCGATTGAATTGAAAAATATGGATTATAATTTGGTTATAACTTTTTAATGAATGGTCACATTTAAAAAATTTTTGGCATGTAGATGGGTAATGATAACAACAAAGTCTCATTATATTTTTTTCAAAATGCTAAAAAATGTGTGCGCTAATCGGGTTCTAGCGTTATGGGCGATTGTGGGCGTTCGAGTTGGCGTGACACCCTGATAAAACAAACTATCGCTGCACAGGAAGCCCAAGAATCTACGACGGACATGGCTAGATCGACTCGGCTAGTGATACTGATCAAGAATATCTGGGGTCGGAAACGCTTCCTTCCTCCTAACATCAATCAAACTCGCGTGCCAGGAAAAGTTTCTTATTTACCTATTTCTTATCTTATTTCGTCTATGGTTTGCATTTAAGAAGTAGACAGGGTTTCCGCATTCAATTAACTTCACTTCTTAAGCCAATGTTTTTGTTAATTTATCTGTAAGCCGTTTCTTTTCCTCCCTTCCCTTCTCTGTTATTGGCCAACATGTCGAAAAAATGTTTTATTCCATGTTGAGTAAATGGGAATGGTGAAAAGAAGCTGAAATATGCTTTGTTCGCATGCATTCCCACTTCCTCAGACGGCCTACCTGCCCGGCATCTCATGAACTGGACTCACCGGATATAAAGCTGATCTCCGACAGCATTATCCATTTAACAGCAAAGAATAAATTGATTTTTAAGTATTTTCCCACACGATGATGCAGCTTTATAGTAACATCGCGTGCATGATCCATTATAGTGTCAGGCATATAGGAGAACTGCACAGGCTCTCCCGAGAAGTAGCGCCCGCCAATACTAAAAAAGACCTTGGCATGCACAAATACCTGTATTATTGTTCATACAGTTTTGCAATAAGTAGAAAGAAAATTGTAGAAAGTTGGGAAAATTAATTTTATTGAATTTAATTCAGTTATTAACTGTATTTTAGGACAACTTCTGAAAAGTAGGATAAGAAACTCACTTGAACATCCTTGGTAAACATATTGTTTGTATGAAGCACGATGGCACTAAAATTGCGAACAGTATCGAATTCAAATACAATTTCAACCGGGTTCCCCAGCAGTCCTGGAGTATCGTTCCGCCATCCAATCCACTCATAGCCTGAAATGAATAAAAAACAACATCAAAATGAAGTAAAACAAGAGAGGAAGTTAACTTCGGCAAGCCGAAAACTGTATACCCTTGCAGTTATAATTATTAAATTAAATTCGAAATTCTTAAAAATACAAAAATTATATTCCCAATTCTATAAGATAATATGTCAAAACACAACAAAGCTATAATTTGTTTCATATTATTTTCCCACCAATTTTTCGATCGTTCCTATGGCAGCTATATGATATAGTGGTCCGATTATAATAAAATTAAATTCGAAACTCGGAACTAATAAAAAATGTTATTTCCAAGCGTAGGAGGTTATATGTTAAACAAGGAAGAACGCTATAGTCGAGTACCTCGACTATCAGATACCCGTTACTCAGATAACAAACTTTAAAATAAGTTAGCCGCGCACTTTGTTCTCTCTCCCTTGCTCTCATTTCTCGGCTCTGCTTTTGTTTCAGCCAGCGCCAAGAATGAGAAAGCAACACATAAAATAGACAAAAAACATTTATATTTATGTATGCTTGGTAAACATACACAATTTTAAGGCATATCTGTATTTCATAATATTTGGTTGAATAGCTTCGTTTGAAAGAATTCTATTTGCCGCGAATATTAGATTGCACTTTTTTACATCCACACATGCATAAACACATACATGTATGTATGTATGTCGTTTTCTGGCTCTAGTGTCAAGGCTTGTCCTAACTACTTTGGTTTGAGAGCATTGGACTGAAAACGGAAAAGTTTTTTTGGGACAATCTATAGGTATTTATTAAGCAAATTCATATTCTTTGAAAGAGATAAATAAAGATGTACAGATCTTTAAAGGTTTTTGCCCGTCAATGGGACAAATGGATAAAGGGTTAATTATTCAATAGAATAAGTTAGCCGCGCACTTTGCTCTCTCTGAGCGCCGGCAGGGCTTTTTTCTTTGCCGCTAAGTTCGGCCGGCAACTATTTACATACACACACATACACGCGTAAAAACATTTCGGATTGTCTGGCTCTGACGTCATAGCTTTTTTCTTTGGAGGTTTGTGGGCGTTAGAGTGGGCGTAGCAAAAATTTTTTTTGGTCAATCGATAGATATTGACAAGACTAATACATTTGAGTTAAAATTTTCTATCTAGCATCAAAACTGTAGGAGTTACATTTTAGGGCGGTTTGTGGGCGTTAGAGTGGGCGTGGCAGTCTACTGAAATAAACTTGCGCTGCGTAAGAAGCTCAGCAATCTGTACGCCAAATCTCAATAGCCTAGCTCTCATAGTTTCCGAGATCTCAGCGTTCATCCGGACAGACGGACAGACGGACATGGCTAGATCGACTCGGCTAGTGATCCTGATCAAGAATATATATACTTTATGGGGTCGGAAACGCTTCCTTCTGCCTGTTACATACTTTCCGACGAATCTAGTATACCCTTTTACTCTACGAGTAACGGGTATAAAAACACCGAAGCTATAATTTGCTTCATATTATTTTCCCACCAATTTTCCGATCGTTCCTATGGCAGCTATATGTTATAGTCGTCCGATTTTAAATTCGAAATTCATAACTAATTAAAAAATGTTATTTCCAACCGTAGGAGTTTATATGTTAAGCAAGGAAGAACGCTATAGTCGAGTACCTCGACTACCAGATACCCGTTACTCAGCTAAAGGGACCAAAGGGAAATGGAGATATGCAAGCGAGATTGAAATGCGCCAACTACCCGTGATCTCAATATATGGTTATGTGGGTGGTAGACAGATTTAAGCGTTATGGGCGTTAGAGTGGGCGTGGCAACCTTTTTTTTGGTCAATCGATAGGTATTGACGATACCAATAAATTTAAGTTAACATTGGTTATCTAGCATGAAAATTGTGGGCGCCACAGGTTTGGTCGGCGTGGCAATCTTTTTTTTAGGTCAATCGATAGGTATTGATGAGAACAATACATTTTAGTTAAAATTTTTATTCTAGCATCAAAACTTTAGGAGCCACAGTTTTGGGCGGCTTGTGGGCGTTAGAGTGGGCGTGGCTCATTGCTGAAACAAACTTGCGCTGCGCAGGAATCTCAGGAATCTGCATTCCTAATCTCAGTATTGTAGCTCCTATAGTATCTGAGATCTCAACGTTCATACGGACAGACGGTCAGACGGACAGACGGACATGGCTAGAACGACTCGTATAGTGATCAATAATATATATACTTTATGGGGTCGGAAACGCTTCCTTCTACCTGTTACATACTTTCTGACGAATCTAGTATACCGTTTTACTCTGCGAGTAACGGGTATAAAAACACCAAAGAACAAATTTTTTTTAATTTTTATTCCGATTATTCCTTTGGGAGCTATAAGATATAGTTGTCCGATCCGGCTGTTTCCGACTTTTAGGATAGTTTCAGCGCAATAGCTTTAGAACTGGGAGACCAGTTTGTGTAGAAACGGACGGACAGACGGACGGACTGACAAGACGTTTCCAAGTGCTGTTAGAACGGAAAATATAAGAGCTAGAGAGTTTGAATTTCTGAGCCAGATTCCTTAGCTTCTGATTAAGTGCAAGTGCCAACCACATTTTAATGTCCCCAAATGCCCACAACGCTTAAGGTGTCTAAATGAGATTTTGTTTATAAATCCTCATCTATATTGATATAATAAGAGCCTTTATTCAATAGGTGAGCAATAATAATAAATAAATAATCGCACTGGCGCCTAATTTCTGGATTTGTCGGAAAAATGTAACAGGTAGTAACAGGTTTCCGACAGGATCATCTAGCCGTGTCCGTCTGTCCGTATGAACGATGATATCTCGGAAACTATACTAGCTAGAATAATGGGATTTGGCACGCCAGTTAAAAGATTGATCAAATTTTTCGTTTGTGAGTTGGATTTAGAACTAACTTTTCTTAAGTTTAGCGATTGTAATACATAATCAGGCGTCGCTCCATCGCTGCCGCCATCTCTGCCGATGTTGTTGAATCTACTGACTTTCTTCGTTATCATTGGCTGCTCCTCGTGTTACCTTTAACAATTTTCATGGAAGAACAAACATTTTAACTGAAATGTATTGGTCTTGTCAACACCTATCGATTGACCCAAAAAAGTTTGCCACGCCCACTCTAACGCCCACAAACCGCCCAAACCTGTGGCGCTCACAATTTTCGTGCTAGACAAAATATTTTAACTGAAATGTATTGGTCTCGTCAATACCAATCGATTGATCCAAAAACAAATTTGCCACGCCCACTCTAACGCCCACAAGCCGCCCAAAACTGTGGCCCCTACAGTTTTCATGCTAGATAAAAAATTTTAACTGAAATGTATTGGTCTCGTCAACACCTATCGATTGACCTAACAAAAATTTGCTACGCCCACTCTTACGCCCATAAAGCTTAAATCTGTCTGCCGCCCATATAACCAAATATTGAGATCGCGGGTAGGGTGCGCATAACAATCTCGCTTTACTGCTTGTATATCTCCATTTCCTTTGGTCCCTTTAGCTGAGTAACGGGTATCTGATAGTCGAGGTTCTCAACTTTATCGTTCTTCCTTGTTTTGAAATGGAAATTTTGTTATTGTTTGATTTGACTCCATTTTCTGATATTGTATACCCTAAAAAAACTACTACTAAGAATTTTTCAAACCGAATGGAAGTCTAGTAAATTTACATTTTCCGCCGTTTACGGCAAATTCAATTTTTTCTATGTCCGAGTCTCTGGTGGAACCCACTCTTAAGGTCCAAGACCAAGCTACATTTGTTGTCTATAAGCTGTGCATTCATTTCGCCAATTTCGAGAATAGGATTCAGATCTAAAATAGTAACTTCATTAAGTTACCTGTAAGCGACTACTAGTCTGTACATTTACTCCAGAACGGTGCGCTGTACGTGTTCATGAACGGTTGCTGTCTTTAATAAACTCTCATATTTAGGCGCATTATGCCATCTCTATCTTATGTAACCGAAAACCGACATACATATATATATATACCTTTTTTCGTTTCTGGCAACGCTGCTACGACGGCGTCTTTTTGTGAAATTCGTATCAGTATCAAATAGGCTTCGCAACTGGCAAGAATAAAAACACATACAGTCCACATAACCAAGTCGTTTATATTTCTAACCACATTGCTGGTCCATCGTTCCGGATTCTTGGACAGTTTTGAAGTGCTTTGATTCTCAATTGTAATTGCTTACAATGGAACAAATAAAATCATTAGTGAAAAGCCGTGCCAGACTCAAGTCCAACATCACACGTGTCTTGGCATGGGCTGAACAAACGGAGATTGCTACACACACAGAGATCACCACACGGATAGATCTTCTCAACGAAGTTTGGAAGGAGTTTCACCAGTTTAGCGATTGCATTGCGCTTCACGAGGAAGTGGAAGGCTATGTTGATCCGGAGATCGACAATGCGGTCTACGAAGCAAAATACCTAAGGGCAAGCGCTATTCTCAAGGAAAGGAGTTGTTCGTACTCAAAGGTACTCAACATGACCACACCCAACAAATCAAGCAGTAGCCAAGTTGGGAGCAGTACCAGGCGCTCAGTAGCACCCACTGCATATGAGAATGGCTGATCAGCATATTATATGTCTCACTAACTCACCGTCTCACCGACTCAACGGCACACTGACCGGCCATATTATATGTCTCACTAACTCACCGTCTCACCGACTCAACGGCACACTGACCGGCCAATGCAGTCAGCACATTTTGCAGTGTCTGCCGAGCCAACTACACAAACTGCTACCATAATCAAAACTCCCTGACCTACCTACCTACTTTAGAATATAGCTCATTCACTAATCATTACACTAAACTTGCGTGTTCCAAGTAGTATATAAACATGTACCAAATGAAGAATAAATCAGTTATCAACACACCTCTTAACTCCGCGGTTCTACTTCCTACAACTGGGAATAGGGCTTGTAATACCCTATCTCAACTAGCAGCTAACCACGTTAGCTCACCCTCAGCGCAGCTCAGCATCGCCTGTGGTCCGGCATCGCAG